TCCCCCACCGCCACCCTCGGGCTCAACTTCTCAGCCAACAAAGTACAGTGGAGCGGCCCGGCTCGGCGCTCCGTGCACAATGATTGGTCAAAGTTTTTCCGACAGCCTGATAAAGCGTCAGCCTCGACATCAATCAACCGGGCGCGGGGGCTGCGCTCGCGCTGTCATCCGCGCGCACCGCGCTCCGCACGGAGGATGGATTGTTTTATGCTGATGCAATGTGCTATCACGTCAGGGCTCCGGCGGCCACGTAACCTCAGCCCCGGCCGCCGGCCGCCCCCTCCCGCCTTCGCAGGAAAGGGGGGGCCTCGACGTGGGGCGCGGGGGCGGCGGAGAGGCGGGGGCTGCGGAGCGCGCTCCCCGGGCGGCTCGGAGAGGGAGGGAGGAGGAGGGGATCGCGAGGGAGCCGGAGCGACCGAGACACGGAGCCCGGGCCCGGGGCGCAGCCAGGAGGGGCCCGCAGGATAATTAAACCCGAGGTGGCCGGGTCCCCCCCAACACCTCCACCTCCACCCCGCGGGCCCTCATTTCCTTTTCTCCGTCCCCTTGACAGAGATGTTTATTAAACAACAGCAGCAGCCAGCCAGCCACAGGAGCTGGAAAAAAAGGGATAGGGGAGGACTCGGGATTTTATAGGATGTCATGGGCTCCGGAGGGGGCTCGATGCGCTATTTGGGGAGATTTACAAGGCTGGGAGCCTTCCCTGACCCGAGGGAGAAGGAGAGGGGGAAATAGGACCAATGTCAAAGGATCCCCTGTCCTGAAATTAGAACCTGCCTGAGGTCAAAGGGATCCTCCAGGGCCTGGAAACTTGGGTCCACAAAGAGTAGGGACCACCGAGTCCTCACAGTGAACTCTTCAATTCCCTGGGCCTTTGTGGATGGGTGGGTGCTCAGCTAGTCCCATTTCCTCCCCCGGCCCTCACATTGCCCAGAGGAGGGAGCTGAACAGGAGAAGGGAGCTCCCCCAAGGTGTCCCGGAAGCAGGGACAGAGGAAAGGGAAATGCCTGGAGTTCTCTCGCCTTCCACCTCGGAGCCCAGGCCAACTTCGCCGCCTCCCCGCTCCCCTCTTGGCACCCAAGGCTGCGGCACCCGCGTGGACATAGAGGCCCTGGGATCAGGCTTTGCCCCCGTCTGCCGCCTCCCTCCCGGTATCCGTCGCTGGAGCTCCCACATAGTGGGTTTCTGGAATCCACTCTGCGGCTGTGCAGGGTTTCTCTCCAGCGGCCGCCGGCTGCGTCCTGGCTCCTTCTCAGGCCCTCCAGTTCCTGCCCTGAGTGCAGCCTTCTGTCCTGTTGTTCCGCAGGGGGAGCACGGTCCCCAGACATGCTGCGCTGCCTGCCTTGGGTTTGGGCACAGGTTTCTGACCAATTCCCTGACTCAGGAGCCACCATCTCACCCCCACCCCCACCCCGGCCTTTCAACAAAAGCGGGGCCACTCTAACTTGGGGTTTGATCCTTTTGGTGGCTGCCCCTCTACCCCGAGAAGGCTGCGGGTCACCTCCGGACCCGCAGACACACTGCAGCCCGCTTTTCTGTCCAAATGAAGCCATCTCGTGTCATTAAGTGTGAAAAACGAGGGCACAGCGCCATATTTCTTCATATTGTGGTGATTTCAAAATGATTTTTTAAAGATCAATGCTGGCGCCCAGCCGGCCCCTCCTCAGCCCCGCCCGCTCTCCAAGGGCTACAGCCCCACAGACTCAGAGCCAAACGGGGTGATCTGTGTTTTCCATAGGACCAAGCGGGGAGAAATCAAAATCCGGGGCAAATTCTTGTAAGTAGCGTTTGGGGGCTGGGGAAAGTCAGGGAGCTCCCCAGACTCACCAGAGAGAAAGCTGGGTGCAGAGGGAAAGGATAGCGGTTAGGGCAAAGCACCTGTTCTCCTCTGGCTAGACGTATGGAGTGTGCTGTGGACTGTTCCTGTAATATACGCTTCAGGAAAAAAACCTCCTCCCCTGCCATAAATAACCGTGTTATGAAGCATGGTGGCTGAGTATATGATTTTCTGTAGCATATAAATTAGGGCCCAAAAGGACATGCAAACCGTGGGGCTGGGCCTTTTATTTATGGAAAAGTCACAGCGCTAGGCTGTTCTGCAGAGCCAAGCTGTGCAGGCACTGGGCTCTGACTGCCGCCCTCCTGGTTTCCGCTGTCCCTGTCCTGACTCTCCGCAGCTGCCGCCTGTCTGGGAGTCAGCGGAGGGCCGCCTAGTTTAGGAAAAAGTTAGAGGAAGGACGCTAAAGCTCAAGGCTGGGCACACTGGGCCGCAGGCCGGGTTCAGGTCTGTGGGTACCAACTGAAGTGCCTGGGGAGCGGCCCCGGTAGCCCCTGGCACTGGCTAGGGAGGGGGCACTGGCCTTTCTTCTGAGACCTGGAGCTTGTCTTCCTATCACAAAGAAGCAAAGGACAGGGACAATTTGAAGATGTCAGGTTAGGAAGGTCTGGGTCTTCTCCCAAGAGATGAGTAGACGGGAAAATGACCCTGCCCCCAGCTCCTGGGGTCTCCACACCGTTTCACCTCCTTCTGGGAGGCACAGCGGATGGGCCAGGAAACAAGGCCGCCAGCCCAAGCCTTTCTACGAACATCACTGGCCCAGGCTGGAGTTCAGCTGCAGCCCAGGCAAGTGATTAAAAGGATCCACCAAGAGCGCCCCTGTCTAGATGCTCTGAGAGCCTGGGCCCCCCGCAACATTATTTTCTCTCCCAGATAATGGTACCCACCATGAAAGAAGGGAGTGAACAACGGGCCCCAGGACCATGAAACCCATCTTCCAAAGATGTGTACTGGAGGGGTCGCCGCCCTGGGGGTCACTCGGTCCTGAGGGGGCCAAACTGCCGTGCACCCCACCCACAGCCCTAAAGAGAAGGGAGGACCCTGCCTTCCCTCAGTCTCCCGCCAGCGCGCCAGTCCTGCACCGGAGCCTGAACACAGTTGGGGCCTGGGAAGATCGCACAGGAAGAAGCAGCAGCCTCTGGCCAGGCTGGGGCCCAGAGCAGCTAGAGGAGAGGGGCCAAGGTTTGCAGAACAGAGGCGGATGCTGGCCGGAACCAGCCGGTAAGTACAATGCTTTGGGGGAGACTGGACCAGGGTCCTTGTCAGGAAGGAAGAGAGAAAATTTAGGGGTGGATTGTATGGAAGAGAAGAAAAAGGCAAAACAAGACGCAAGTGAAGAGGGAGTTTGTTTTTCTAATTATTAAGCTAAGCTAAAATCGATGCCTTCTGTATTTGCACAGGTAAATGTGTCTTGTGTTTCTACTTTAAATCCCTGTGTGTAGCAGGACCCTAAGTGAAAATGTGCTATGGTTTGTGCTGTGTATAGAATATTCGAGAAACAGATCAGCCAAGCGCTACTCTCTGGGTGCCCGGGCATTCTATCTGTACATGAGGTCTCATCTTGCGTTAGTGGATAGGTGTGTAACTTCTGTGATGGACAGGGATGAACGATTCTGCTCCTATTGAGATGGCCCATGGCTCCAAAGCTTGTATGTACATTTTCATAATCATCCACACACCTAAGGAGAAGGCAGAACCTGGGGTATTTGTGCACTTGAGTTGTGGCTATGAAATATTAGCTGATCCGCAAGTTTCGCTCAGAAAGCAGCCCCTGGATGTTCAAGCCAAATTACACCTCTACCTTCTCCTCAGGCTTTGAGCCTGTGACTTAAGCTGGATTCTGCTACATCTCACTCAGAAGAGGAGGAAAATACCTCACATTGGGGAAAGGGCATGAAACTTGATGACTTTTTTTGGGGTCTGACCATGAAATTCTTTACTGAATATCTTATATCAGGCCCCAAACTGCAGAGATAGCATGTGCTGTGTGATTCTTATTTCATGGGGGTGGAGGTACTTTAATTGTGTCCTGAATGAGTGTGAGCCAGAGGTGGGCAGATGTGAATTGAATGTGAAAGTCCTCAGGTAACGGCTGAAGGTCATGCCAAAATAAGAAAGAAAAAAGAAAAAGAAGAAAAAAAGCCAGTCCACATCCTCAAGGGGTAGGGGGATTTCTTCTGTCCCAAGACCAGAGTCCAGAGCCACTGTGGGAACAGGGAGGCAGGAGGACCCTTGTCCCGCTGGAGGTGAGAATCTAGATGCCAGGCCCCATCCCCCCCCAAGGACTCGCAAACAGGTACCCTATAGAATCCGCACTTCCAGGGTCCAGCCGTGGCTACCTCCCGGCAGTGGGCATCTTAAGGGTCAAGTAAGGAAATCTCCTGCCAAGCTCTGTCCTAGGATGTCAGAAGTGAAGGGAGGGACAGGCAGGTCAGGACCGCCAGGAAATCTTCTCACCAACTCCCAGCCACCAAGGGTATCCAGGGCATGGGTGGGGGTGGCTGGCTTCTTGAGAGGGGGGCATCCAGGAGGCCAAATGGGGTGGGCAGCAGGCGGGGTGGAAGGGGACAAGCAGGTAGAAGGTTATTACAGAATTGCTTCCATAAAACCTGTGGCTGTTGTAAAACTCTCTGCTTTCCAAAGACTTTATTTCCTCCTTTCTCCCTAACATTCCCCTTTTTTCTTTTTCTTTCTTTTTTTTTTAACAGCACTTTTCCTGAGAGCGGGTGGCCGAGGGACACCATGGAAACAGCAGCCGGAGGAGTAAGGTAAGGCAGCAGAGGCCTCCTAGCCCCTCTGGACCCAGCCCCAAGGCAACAAAATGTCCAGGGGCAAGGCTGTTGGCCTCAACTTAACAAGACAGTGGGTTGAGGCTGCATTCCCTGCGCAGAGCAGGTCCCCAAGGGTCCTAGCAAAGGCCCCTTGTTCAACAGAGCGCCCCCCCAACTCCGCCTGGGGCCACCCCAGCCCCATCCGGTCCAGCCTCTTCCTGGCCCCCTCTGCATTTTTCCTCTGCCTCAGGCAGGGGGGAAAGTCGAGGAACAAAAGTTAGTTTATGCTTTGGCGAGCCCCCACCCACCGCCTTCCACCAGCACTTGTAGTTACCCCTTCACTGGGCACAGAGCCAGCAACAGTAAGAGGGCTGGGGTCAGCGAGGGTACCCAGCTTGCCCTGCCCAGCCTGGCTCATTTGTGCCCCAGTCTGTGCTGCAGGCCACTCAGCTGTGGTTCTCCTGGAGTCCTGAGAGGAGAGCCCGCTCTGAGGACCTTCGAGAACTCACAGCCCAGCCCCGGGTCCCGAGGGAAGGAGCCAGCTGGAGGTGCGCAGAGGAAAAAGGTTTCTTTCCAGAACCTCCCTGGAGCCGAGTGAGTCCCTACCCCACTAGGGGGCCCCAGGAGGGACCCTGAGGGCCTGGATGAGGCCACCGGGAATCCTATTTTCTCTTTCCTCCGAGGGGGGCCTATGGATCCCTCTTGAAGGACCTGGAATTTCCTGCTGAGGGGGAGCCTGGTCCCCCAAATGTTACAAAGACCTCAAGGGCCTCCCACACCCCCGTTGAAATCCAGGCTCTGTGCACTCGTGACCTGGTATGGTTGAGCGATGACGGAGGAGTCTCTGGAAGGTTCTGAGAGCAGACAGGAGCGGAGACCCCAGAGCCGGAGGCTCCCAGCCCTGGGCAGCAATCTTGGGCTCAGCCCCTGGGAGGTGGCTTTGGAAAGTGGGATGCTCCCCACTCCCCCCACAGTGAGCCCCAAACGTGCTGAAAATGTGCAGAAGTGGGAAGGCACCCCAGAACTCTCCTGATCTCTGGGGAACTTTGGCCGCTGCTCACTCCTCATGCCCCACGCCAGCCTTGAGCCGCGACACCGACACCGACACCGCCACTCCTACAGCTCAGCGAGGAGCAGTAACTGCCGTGAATCGGGTGGTTTGATGTCGTTGTGTTCAGAAGCCCAGGCCCAACAACATGAAACTACCTAATTCACTCAGCAGTCCTGGTTCAAGTGCCAGGCCTAGGGCTCCCTGGGGCCATCCCGAGGGCCTGAACTTACCGCTGAACTCACTTCTGCCGCTTATTTCCCATAGACCCAGTATCAGTAAACAGCTCTTCTGAAGAACCGGACCCAGATGAAAGCTGCTCCTGCTCGCCGGGCTGGTTGGTCCTGGCAATTCAGATTCCAGAAACAGCTCAGGTAGGGCTGCTTGGAGACACCTGCTCGGCATCTGTTGCTGCAGCGGGGACACTCCAGGGACAAAAGTGCTCTCAGCCTCGCGTTATAAAGGTTCACCCGCGGGCACCAGCCCCCTGGCCAGGCCCTGTGCTGGGGGATTCCCCAGCCTCCCAGGGTGGCTCTGAGAGGTCAAACTCTTCCTACAAGATTCCTGGCTTGAAGACCGGGCTGTCACCAGGGCTGGGGTGACCTGGTGCTGAGAAAGAAAGCAATGGAGAGATGGAAAAAGCTGCGTCAGTAAGGACCAGGCCCCCTGGGGAGCAGAGGGGACAGCACAGTGACTTGGACGACAGAAATCAGGCCACAGAAACATCTGGGGTTCGAGCGGCAGCCCAGGTGAGGAGACCCATTCCGCATGTGCAGTGGAACCGGGAGGCCAAGAACTTGGGCTGGGACACAGGGGCCACCCGTGCCCCCCACGCTCCGGCCTCTGCAGATACCCACATACCGGGGCTCCACAGACCCCACACTCACCTGACCGATTGGGGACAGCAACAGCCCGAGAAGGGCCTCTGCTTCCTCAGGGCCCTGTCCATCCAGGTCACCCCCGTCCCTCCTGCCTTGTCCCACAGGTGACAGTCTGAGAGGCCACCTGTCTGGCAGGGAAACCCGAGGTAAGGAGCGAGACTCCCCCGCCACCCACTCCGCTTCCCGGGTATAAATCTCTCGGAGACCGGAAATCCAATAAAACTTCACCACGTTGATGAACTTCGAACAGTTTACATCCCCTCCTGGCCTGAAAAGAAAGATGGCCAGGGGGAGGGGGCAGGTGACAAGAGAGGGGAGGCACAGCCAAGAAGCGGCTGGCACAGACCCCGTGTGTGGAGAGAAAGCGGGACACCATGGGCCCGCGCTCTCCTCTGCCCCACAGCGACAGTCCGTCCCCACGCCCAGCCTCCCAGGCCTCCCCAAGGCCCTGAGCACAGCCCGGGAGTCCAGGGCTCCGGTGTGCAAGCCCAGGCCCCGGCTCCCCTGCCTTGTTCTGGGGCCTCCGTTCTTGCACCTTTCCTCCGAATGCGGGTTTTTTGTTTGATTGGTTTTTCTTTCCCCCTCCAGCCGCCAGAACTTTGCCCTGCCCCACCCAGCCCGGCCTGTTTATTGCCAGGTGCCTGAGGAGGGGACTGGAGATAAGACTGGAGGACACTGGAGACCAAAGGGGACCCAGCCGGCGGGGGCTCCTGCAGGGGAAGTGACAGCGTCAGGCCCGCGTGGAGTGGCGTACAAATCCGGGAGTGCTGCCACCGGCTCCTGCCTGGCTTCTTACAGGACTTAAAATCCAAAAGAAAACAAGACCTACCTGGGCCTCCACTTTCCTCACCCTAGTTCTTTTCTGCTCTGGACATTTTGTGGAATCTGGATTTGCTATTGTAAACCAAAACTTTAAAAGATCATTATTCAAAGCCTTGAATTTCAAATAACTGCGAGCAGAGTTTACTGACTGCTGCTTTTTCTTTTTCTTTTTCTTTTTCTTTTTTTTTTTTTTTTTTTTTTTTTTTTTTTTTTTTTT